AACACTTGTAATATCTTAAGCCCGCTTAAACTTTATATCACTATCACTATATATGATCCTTTTAGCGACAATATAGTGACTCTATGTAGAGGGAGGATAGGAAGAAAACCCATAGAACAACATGAAAGCAACAAGAACAGATAGCAAGGGAAAATGCAACATAAATGACGAAAACAGGAACATTCCATGGTGCATGAATAATAAAAAAGGAACAATATTAAGAAAATATACGTATACATATAACCATATGGACATAGAGGAGAAAACCTTATGACAGCATCTAAACAAGATACAAATCATAACAATGTTTGGCTTCACTTACAATTATCCAGGTGACAAGAGAAAGAGAAACAAGAATGAATGAAAAAAAAAGAAGCAAATGAGCATGTACAACAAAAGTAAGCTTAAAATGACAAAAGCAACTGGTATCTATAAGACACATACATGATTGATACGAGATAAAAACTAATGAACATCAATGAGAAGATGAAAAAAAAATTCTTTTGCTTTTATCATATTTATTTTCTTGTTGTTCATGCCATTTTTGTTGATGTGTTATTGATATTGATAATAATGGTAATAAAGCACATGCATAGCCAGAAAAAAGACAAACACGTGCGTGCCGTAACATATTAAACGTATGACGCATATCTCATGATTCAAGTAACACTAATAAATTTTTGTATTCAGTTTGATTAACAAGTTCACTTTTCATTTGTCGTTCTTCAATAAAATATTTTTCATGATCATTTTCATTATTAATTAATTCTGTGATATCATTAAATGAATATATTGATTGAATTGAACAATCATGAAATGCAACTTGCTCATTGATATCAAGTTGAGCTGAAAGTAATGGATAATGTTGAAGAATCATTGAAGCAAAATTCAATCGTTCATCTGCACCACTTCAATCTTTATTAACAACGTTCATTACCATGAATCTTTTAAATATACCAAAACAAATATGAGAATTGATGAAAATCATCGAAAAATGACTCATATCTTCGACTAATTTTAATCACTTGCCTTGATTTTCTCTACTAAGTATCATGCTCTAATCAAGTTTTTCTTCCAAATTTTCGCGATTACAGTTATCAACTGCGAAGAAACTCCTAGTAGACATGGAAAACTTTATTGGTTCATAAGAAGACGAAGGTAAACACATCTACATAATCAAAAAATCAGAAAAATTATGAGTGCACTCATAGTAAAGGGTGAGTGTGGGTGTGGATGTGGGTGTGGGTGTGAGTATGAGGGTTTGGGTGAGGGTGTGGGTGTGGGTGTGAGGGTTTGGGTGAGGGTGTGGGTGTGGGTGTGGATGTGAGTGTGGTTGTAGGTGTTTATCGTGTCTTCACTTACACTCACACCCCACGCCCACCCACAGCCACACCCACAGCCACACCCACAGCCACAGCCACACGCACAGCCACACCCCACACCCACACCCCACACCCCACACCCACACCCCACACCCCACACCCACACCCCACACCCTTCTCATTTGTTGATGCACTCTTATCCACACCCTTAAGATAGTTAAACAACGGTTGATATGTTTCAAAATTCGTTTTAGCCAATAGCTTAAGTCATGATGTCTAGAGAATTGATAAAAAAATTATAATTTAACAAGGAGCAATGACACATTTGTTTTATCATTCATTGTGAAATTGATAAAATTTATAAATGAATAAAACATAAAGAAAACTGATTGATGAATATTTGGCGTGAATCTTGTTGGAAACTCGTATTGTTTGCTATTTCAAAAGAATAAACAGGAGTTAGATGAAAAGAAAAACAAAAATTTGCATAGTTTTTCATAACGACAAATAAACAACAAAAACAAAAAAGATCAGATTCCAATCTCAACTGCAGCATATATATATATCTAATGGTTATCGGCCAAGGGACAAGTGACGTTTATCACATTTCCCTATCTCACACTTCTTGACCTGAAATGGTTGTATATCGATCATGTTGAAATAATTCTGTTGAAAAAGAAGCACATCTACGTCATTTATTAAATCTCATGATCAAATAAAAAGCAAAAGTGAATTTGTCTCTTGCAGGAAAAGCGGCAAATCTTGCGATAATCTAGATTATCGAAGTAGTGAGTCAGTAGTTTCGAAATTCTAAAAGCGTGTTCGTTCAGTTGTCATCACATCAGCGAGCGAGCAAAGGTTTTCCTCGCAACGTATTGAGCAGGTGCAGTTGAGAATCTTTAAGATTGATTATCGAAGCCAAGTGCACTTTCGCCTCATGGATAAAAAAGAGATGATTCAAACAGTGCGTTGGTTGCTGAGGATTTGAATCTGCATCACTGGCCAGCAGGTTGTGACTGATCGATTCGTGTCACACTTGGTAGTGTCATTATTCATGTCCTTATATGAGGACTGTTTTTGGGCTCCTGGTGTAGGCCATTTTTCTGGGTGTTGGCAGTTTTTTAGATCTTGAATTTTATATAATTAGATGCCGTTTGAAAAGCTCTACAAGATGAGACAAAAACTTTTTGGTGGTTCAACAATTGAAATTATGAGAGGGTAAAACGAGGAAAAATACACTCTTTTTACATCTATATTTTTCATGGGTTCTGACCATCAGGACCATAAAGCTCCAAATCTCAACAACAAATATATTTCATAATTTCTAGTATTTTGTAGAGTATCTCAGTGACTATCAAATGAAACGGAAATGAGCTCGATCGCTTTAACCATTTTCGAAAAAATGTCGAAATATGACCCCCACTAAAATCTAGGTCAAAAAGACATAACGACCAAAGGGGTGAAAATCTCAGCATAGGCTAAAAGTTTTCCGCTACGATTTTAAATCGAAAAGATTTGGATTTGTCAGTAAAAATGAATGCTCTTTCGAACCATACAGTTAAAATCGGAAAGAAAAATTTGACCTCCGGAGCTGTTCAGGAAAATGTTCGGTTTTTTCGCGGAACTTCTCTCAAACATCAAATGATGACTTCATTTTTTATTAAGTATTTTTTTTTAAATTAAAGACAGACCATATTTATTCTATGACAATAATGATGAAATTTCTAGTTGACTATAATTTCTAAAAAAACAAATATTAAATACTGATATTCGTTCCTATTACTTTTATTGTTATTGTAATTCTTTTTCTACATTTTTATCGATTTGTTTTTTTCGTTGTGATCAATATCTTTTAAAGATCTACATAAAAAAAAGAAAGTTTTTTTTTACAATAAATCATTCATAAGAAGATAAGACCTAACAAAAAAACAAAATCTATTAAACTTACCAATCATTTTCATTAATATACTCATTTACTGATGTTTGCATAAGTAATTGATTATTTTCATCCTAGAAATTAAAAACAAAAAAAGACTTGAAGGCAATGTGTTATGTCTGATACTTTTCATCTTGAATTGAATAAAAAAATTTTCGTTACGAAAAAATTGTTCGCTTTGTATGATCAAATTCTCTCGAAAATAATGAATATCTATTGAATTTTTTCGCCTTTTATCCAATCAATAATTTCATTATTCTAAAAAAAAGAATAGTTAATCAACTAAGATTGAAAAAAAAACTGTTTTAAAAAAGTCCAATGAACCGAAATGATCAGTTTTTCTCTCAGATGTTCGTATTTGTCTGCGTGTAAACAAAAAAGTATCAAGAAATGGAAAGATTTCCAATGATATCTATAAGAATATTTAATAATTTTTTATTTACAGAGGCAACCATAAATTATGCTTTAAATTGTAAATAAATAAGTAACAAAAAATTTTATTTTAGAGTATTGATGAAAATGAAAACATTATATTTGCTATTTAAAACATTTTCATCAGTTTTATTTTCTTCTTTCCAACACTTTGACAACGAACTGAATTGTTAATTGTACTGAAATTAGTAGGACCAATTCTATCTTATCAGTTTGTTCAATATAATTTTATTTGTTGATAATAATCAATTATTTGATTAATACTTATTGAGCATTCTAGAATAGTCATACTATGATTATGTTCTATAAAATATTTTATTTTGATTAAGATTTATCGAAAAAAACTCATTTCGAAGCAACTATTATTTATCTGGATATACATTCACAGTAGGAATTATCGTTTAATTAAGATCATAATATTTCATTTTTATGAATGTTTTTATTTAAAAAAATTTCCAGAGATAAAAAAACAAATATTAAATAAAATGACAAAAGAACTAGTTTATCTTGCACTAATTCAAAATAAAGAACTAAATAGAAAAGAATAAAAATAAGTTTATTCAATCAAACAAGAGCATCATCAAGTAGAAACGTCGATGAAGTTAGCGGCAGATTCAACTTTTTTCAACGAATATTCGCATATTAACCTGTGTCTAAGAAGCTTATTAGTGTGTCTTGTACGATTCGACGAGCTCTATCCAGTGATGCAATCAGATTTTCCATAGTCGAAATTATAGCCCAGAAAATATCAAAATACTGTATTTTTTGAATGAAATTCTGGCACCATATTCGAGTAAAAGCTGTCCATATTCACTTCCTCCACTGTATCAATTCTGAAAATACTTATGTTCGGTGCAGCTCGATGAGCTCTATCCAACGGTATCCTCGAATCTTCAATAGTTCAAAGTATGATTTTTGGGCTAATAGACGGCGCTAGAAAAAATTCGAAAATCATAGTTTGAGCTATCGAAGATCTGAGTATACCGTTGGATAGAGCTCATTGTGCTGCACCGGACACAATTATTTTCAGAATTGACACACTGAATGAAGAGAATATAGGCAGCTTTTACTCGAATATAGTGCCAGAATTTCATTCAGAAAATATAGTGTTTTAAGATTTCCAGGACCATACTTTAGGTTATGAAAAATCTGATTACACCATTGGGTAGAACTCGTCGAGTTGTATAGGATACACTGATGAGCTGTTTAGACACAGATTAATGTGCGAATGTTCACTGAAACAAGTCGAATCTGCTACTAACTTCACCAACGTGATTAATCGTATCAAACATTAAAAGTCGTTTATTATATTAATTTATTTGAAATGTTTGATATAACTCTGCATTGTTGAGCATTTCAACACCGCTAAAACCACCAGTAACTAACACATTTCCATTTGCTAATATGGATGCTGTGTGCCGAGATCGCGCACTATTCATGTTGCCAGTAGTTGTCCAAATTTCTGTTGATGGATTATACAATTCAGTGCTACTAAAACTACGGAAATTTCCCTGTCCACCAGTAACTAACACGTTTCCATTTATTAATACGGATGCTGTATGTTGCTCTCGTGGATCATTCATGTTACCAGTTGTTGTCCAAGTTTCAGTTGATAGATCATACAATTCAGTACTATTGAGAGCATCACGATTATTTCCACCAGTAACTAACACTTTCCCGTTTGTTAATAAGGATGCTGTATGATGCTCTCGTGCATAATTCATGCTACCAGTATTTGTCCATGTTCCTGTTGACGGATCATACAACTCCGCACTATTTAGGGCACTAAAATTATTATATCCGCCAGTAACTAATACTTTTCCGTTTGTTAATAAGGATGCTGTATGGTGCTCTCGTGCATAATTCATGCTACCAGCATTTGTCCACGTTCCTGTCGATGGATCATACAACTCAGCACTATTTAGAGCTCCAATACCATCATTGCCACCAGTAACCAATACTTGTCCATTTGTTAATAAGGATGCTGCATGCCCATCACGTGGATGATTCATATTACCAGTAGTAATCCAAGTTCCTGTTGATGAATCATACAATTCAGCAGTGTTTAAATTGACACCATGTGTCCCACCGGTAACTAACACTTGCTCATTTGTTAATACAGATGCTGTATGTCCCTCGCGTGCATTATGTATACTACCAGTAATTGCCCAAGTTCTTGTTGATGGATCATACAACTCACTAATAGTAGGATCGATACCATAAAGCCCTCCAATAACTAATACTTTTCCATTTGTTAATACAGATGCTGTGTGTAACTCTCGTACATTATTCATGCTACCGATACGAGACCATCCTAGAGAAAAATATTTGAGTTTATTCATTTTGAAAAGGAATATCTATGATTAAATTTTTGAGATCGTTTAATCATGTGCCGAAGTTTTTAGATATTGTAGCAGAAAAATCAATTCTTTATCCAGAATCGTATGAATGGAAAACAGTTAAATTAGATTCGTATTTTCTTTTTGTCGCTACATTACTTACAAAAATCAATGCGCTTTCGAGTATGGTGTTAATGAAGATCTCTAGGTGAATGAGGTACGGCAGAACACGGATGGATCGATGAAATTTCCGACAAATTCGCGCAATCAGATCGAAAACAGTATCTATTTCTGCTTTCTGACTTGTTTACCGTTAGTTCCTGCATCAAAAATAATGTCCAGATATATTTGTTCTGACGGGTGCCGTTTTAGATAAAGGGATTCAGTGATTTATCAGGACCAAAAGACATAAACTGCTATCTTTTGTGTCTGAAAGATGAACCTTGCTTTTTCAAGTACGGATATTGCTTCATGATATATCACTTCCAGTCTCGCGATGTCGTTAGTCTCGAATTAGAAATTCTAAGGTTAGTCTATCAATTAGGTATGATTTGTTTATTAATTCGTTTTATTTTACTTATTCAACGAAATAATAGTAAAAAATCAATACACATTTTCGTAATGGATTGAAATCATACAATTTTAATTGATTACAAATCAACTGTAATAAAAACAATCAAAATTTTCATTATTTAAACAAGTATTTCGATTAGATATAACTATAATTGTAGAAGAAAGAAAGATAATTTAAATGATGTCAAACTAATCTAATCACATAAATCATGAAAATCATTAAAAACCAACCAACATTCTCGAAATATCTATAAAAAAATCTGAAGTAACTTTTGGCTAAATTTTTTGATTTTTTCCTTTTCTGGTTAAATCGAGTTTTGATCAAATTCTAAACAATTATAATAAGGTTAGAGGTAATTTTTGCCATTATTTTTGTTCATAAGGAAGATTGATCAGTCTATTAACTAGTAATTCATCCTTTGACAACGAAGAGAAACCTCGATTATCTGCTCATTGATGACTTTTTCAAGCGATCATTGACTGCTTGTCCAAGCACATACGGATGAATCACTTTTTCTCTTCCTTGCATCGATAACTAATCGATAGAAAAAAGTGGATTTCAGAAAGAAACTTCAAATTTGAAGCTAATGTTTCTCTCTACATTGTATCATAAAATGTCAACTGATGTTGTATCAAAAAAAAAATAACTACAATTGTTCAGACTCCACCTAGTGGAGGATTATTTGATTTATTTAGTTAATGGATTTCATATTTTTGTTCTCAATAAACTTTCAATTTAAGTTGCAGTCTAAGTCTACAAAAACGGGACCAACACTGATCACGTACTTTTGTACTACTTAGTCATCCTACACTGGAAAAAAAATGGTACGATACCGAACCAAAAAAGGTGCTTTGAACGAAAAAAAGGTTTCGTACATCGTACGGAACCTAAAAACGTTTCGAATT